AATAAAGAGGGGGGGGGGGGAAACTAAAAAGCTGATTAGAGAAGTGGATGTATTGCAACAATACTACCTTTTGGATTTCTGCGTGTAAAACTCGGATGTAGTTTGTGAGCGTGGATCCCTGATGGCAGAAGAACATGGGAGTCAGATGATGAAAGGAAATATAATATGCACGGTTTTTATTTGATAAATGTTTTCGGAAAGCACCTTTGGCTCTGTGATCATCAGTGCTGATGGCCGGATATACAGAGCTGAATTCAGGTGAGTGTGATCAAACATCATCACAGTTTTTTTACAGAACCAATAATAATCATTATTGCAAACAAAAAAATTTTTTTGTTAGCATGAGTGGCTAGTTGTGAATATTTTAAAAGTTCTATTTTTAAATTGCATTTGGGCTATAGGCTATACTACTACTACTAATGCTGTATAACATATATATATATCCCGGTGGAAGTGGGCTGCAGGGGCTTTGTGGCTAGTTCCACTATAAGGCTGCTGAAGGACAGGTCCAGCGGAGGATAGTCAGGGAACTGGCCAAGGTCGCTGAATGAAGCAGCCACAGGCTGTGGTTGAAGCAGATGGACACAGTGTGGGCTGCCGTATGACCAAAGTAGCCATGATCCTGGATTCTTGCTGAACCAAAATCAGAGCGTAACAATTGCTGCGTCTCGCGGTGTTCTGCTCACAGCGAAGGAGAAAATGTTCTATGGTGCGGCTAAATGGTGCTGAATATTGGGATCATAACACCTAGTCTTATCATGTAAACTAAAATTGGTATTGGAGTCTGCCATGAAAAATCAAGATTGGTGCATCACTACTGACCAGTGTGAGCACTGATGTGTTTTCTAACGTTCTGTCCAATGGTCAACTTTAAGAGAAGTATTTTGAATGACACGCAGATTATTGCAGAAGTGAAATCATTCCAAAATGAAAGTATAAAAAAGTTATAGAAGTTTAAATTTACTGTAAAGAAAAATGTACTGTACTTTTTTTATTATTTTATATCAAATTAATATTTTACAAAATAGTTTTTAATCCAAAATTGCTATAAAATTAAAGCCATACGTCTATATAAGTTGTGTTCCAAATTTGAAGTTGATATAAAAAAAAATTGTGAGGTTCCAATACAATTTTGTTAAATACTTTCCTTTTTTTTTTTGCAGTGCTACTGCAAATCATTTGTTGTAATGTATAATTAAGAGCTCATATTAGAGAGCTGATTTTATAGTTAAGTCATGGCCATAAACTGTATGTTTTTAAAGACGTCTAGAGTGAGGAATGTATTACTTTAGGGCATGATCCTTGTCTTTTATTCCCGCCATAAATAAATTGAAAATGTCCTGGAAAAGTCCTCGAAGTCCTGGAAAATGATCGCTGAAAAAGTGTGGGAACCCTGATAAATCCTGGTTTATAAAGGCTGTGGTGTAAAACAGTGATTAAAGACTGTAATTCACCTTAATGTTTGTAATGTGTGTTTGTGCTGCACAGGCTCTGTGAGCTGAGGAGAGAGCAAGATGAAGATCTGGGGTGTGATGCTGGCGTGTGCACTGACGCTGAGCTGCGTGTCCTCCGTCCCGAACCCAACCGGACACTCTCACCGTTCACAACCACACGCTCAGTGTTCTCAAAGACTACAGAGAAAACCATACAGACATCTGCCTGATGCTCGTACCATCAAACATCTGGAGCCAAGAAGTCACTCAGGTCAGGAGAAGCCATTTGTTTCTTATTATTACATATATAAAAGTCACATGAATACACACAGGTGTGATAAAGCGTATTTCGGGACACACCTGATACTGTTGTGATGGTTAAGTAAAGAAGTTTCAGGTAACCCATTGTACCTGGGTGAGACACTAGACTAGTTCTATCAGCTTACAAACTGAGCTTACAACTTCGAAAGCCGTGGCCATTTGAACCTGTATTATATGTGGTACCTGTGGACAAAAGCAGTATTGTTGCTAAAAGCTGTCAGAATAATGCAAACTATATCATGTTATGGCTCTTTGATCACTCTGCGCGTCTTCTCATAAAGGCACATCAAAACACTACCACCTTAACATACTGTGAAAACACAATATACAACACACTTTAAAGGGTCATATCATCAGTCTGTTTTCTCCTTGAGATCCACTAACCAAGGTTTCCTGCAGCAGAAACTGTCCAGGTTTAGTTTTACAGGACCATCCTCTCTGACTCTTAGAATTAACTGCCTCTTTTGCTAATGTAACTGTTTTTATTTACCGTTTTAACTCATTTTAATTTTAGTTTAAGTTTTCATAATTTTGTTAGGTGCTTTTGTCAATTTTATTCTTTTTTTTAATATTTCTATTTAGCTGTATTATTATTTCAGATTACGTTTTAGCAATTTTGTAATGTGCTTTTGTCATTTTTATTAGTTTTTATTTTCTATTTAGCTATACTTTATTTTTATTTCAGTTTTGTTGTGTTTTTGTCAATTTTATACGTTTTTATTTTTCTATTTAGCTTTAATTTCGTTAAATTTTAGTATTGATTTTAGTAATTGTATGTGCTTTTGTCACTTTTATTCGTTTTTTATATTTCTATTGAGCTATAATTTATTTTTAATTCCGTTTGAGTAATTTTGTTATGTGCCTTTGTCAATTTTATTATTTTTTTATATTTCTATTTAGCTATATTTTTTATTTCAGTTTTAGTAATTTTATGTCCTTTTGTCATTTTTAGTAGTTTTTGATTTTTCTATTTAGCTTTATTTATTTTTTAATACAGTTTTAGTAATTTTAGTACTTACAATTTCTTTTATTTCAGTTAGTGGCCAAAGCAGCATTTATAATTTTTTTCTTCAAGCTCCTTTCATCTGTCTCCGCCCACATCCCAACATCCAATCAACAACCGATGGATAGAATGATGTCCCCGCCCTACTTTTTTTCTTTTTCGATAATCTGTTACACTCAGATGTACACTGTAAAAAAAATTCCGTAAAATTTACGGTAAAAAAACGACAGCTGTGGTTGCCGGAATTTTACCGTAAAAACTACGGTAGCAACGTTTTAGGTTTTACGGTTTTAACTTAAATTTACAGTAAAATACCGTAATTTCATTAACTGATATAATGTTAATATACCAACCTATTGAAGTACTGAAATCTGTTTTGTACCTTTGTAATACACTGATAACCACCAAATGCAGGTGGTGATGAGAAAGTCACATGATGAACCAAAGCCCATCACAAGCAGCTTTTAAATAATATCATATATAGAAGGTGCACAGTGTCATTCACACAAACACCAAACACCATCATGGTAACACACATGAAACTGAAATCATGCAATAAACATTCATTTAACAACATTAGGTGTAACACACAACCCTAATATACAAAACTGATAAGAAAAAACATAGTTATTTCAACAAAAAAACATCAAATTTGAAATGTAACGCAGGGAATACTGGAAATGTCAATTTACGGTTATTCACTGTAAATATACTATAGTAGGGGAATTTACCGTTAACCATTTAACAGGTTTTTACTGTAGCATTTTTACAGTCTTTTACCGTTAAATACACGGTCATTTTTTACAGTGTACATCACAATACAGAAGAAAAGATCTGTTGCTACTTTAGTTTTATTGCGACTTTAAATCTCAGTAACCAGAAACAAAGTATCGGTACTCATACTTGGCCTTGTTGCAACTCAGGCTCATTGAAAATACGTGACCCTGCCTCCGTTTCTGCAACACCTGAAATACATTACTCTATGAGTACATGTTGCTGAACTCGTCAGATGACGCATCCATAAGCGATATCATTTTTTCTCCATTGCAGATGTGGTTTATCAGAAGTTTACTTTATCAGAAAAGCCATACATATTGAGACGAACATGTGATGCAAATGTTAAAATGTATGTAAAAGTGTTTTGAGGTCATGACAGTATTTTGCAAGGAATCATGTGAAAAAATTAAGGCAAATGTAGACAGAGTTACACATTTCTAATAAGCCTGGGTTGCCTTTTAATATTAATTTATCTATATCCTATCTAATTTATCTTATCGGCTTTTCTGCTCCACAGAAGAAACTAGTACTTCAACTTAAACTTATTTCAGTTAGTGGCCAAAGCAGCATTTATAATGATTTTTTTTTTTTCATTTTTTATGTAATATTTATATTTTATTTCATTTCAGTTAGTGCTTTATTTCAGTTGGTGAAATGCTGATAACATATGAAGTTCTGTGTTGAAAAGTGCCATACAGATTGAAATGATCAGAGTCATTGTTAAAAAATAAACGTCAGATTCTTGTTTCTAATGCTGGGGGCTCATTAGCAAAGATGCAGGTGCGAATTACAAATGGATGAGCTATACCTTAAAAATCACAGATTTCATACTAACTGTTTTCTGCAGTTTACTTTCATATAAATGGCTTTTTTTGTTTTGGAGGAAGTTTTCACTTCAGAAGTTGACGAAATGTTTTCATTAGATCAAACTGTTTCCATTTAAAAGATGAAGGAAAATGTGTTTTTTTGTTTTTTTTTGTGATATGACCCTTTCAAAGCATGCATATACACAAAGAGTATGACCTTTCCACATAAAACTACATTAGCAGAATCAGGTTTAAGTTTTAGCATATTGTTTAAAATCAGGTTGTTGTGCAAATGCAGGAACATCTGTTTCCTCTGTCCCACAGCCCAGTCAGCCTTCATCCACAGATCCAAGAGATCTCCAAAACGGAGAGGTTTCCTTCGTAGCAAGATGGACAGGAAGAGACCGAGTCGTGACGAGAGAGAGAAGGGAAAAGGAAGAGCATGTGCACTGAGACAAGTCCAGTTGAAAGTGTCTGATCTGGGTTTGGGCTACCGGAGTCAGGAGGAACTGATATTCAGCTACTGCAGCGGCGTGTGTATAAACTCCCTCACAAACTACGACAAAATCCTCACCAGCCACGCCGGCAATGGTAAAAACTTTCTGCGCAGCTCCCCTCATACCGCCTGCTGTCGACCTGTCGAATATGACGACGACCTGTCGTTTCTGGATGACAACCTGATATACCACACCATGAAGAGGCACTCGGCACGGAAATGTGGCTGTGTCTAAGCAGCTGTGATAGACAATGACACCAGATGGGGAAATCAATTTCAGGTTATTACATGTGTGAGCATGGCTCGGTCGAAGGAATCATCATGACTGCATTTCTCGGAGAAGATACAGGATAAGGAATTGCAAGAAAAGATGTTCAAAAACTGGTACATACACTCTCAGAAAAAAAAAAGTACAAAGCTGTCACTGTGGCGGTACCCTAAGATACAAAAGCTAAAAGGTACGAATATGTACACTCTAAAAAATGCTGGGTTAAATATAACCCAGCGCTGGGTTAAAAAGGGACAAACCCAGCTATTGGGTTGTTTTGACCCAGCGGTTGGGTTCAAAACATCCCAACCGTTGGGTCAAAACAACCCAATAGCTGGGTTATATTTAACCCAGCATTTTTTAGAGTGTACACTTTAGCTACTAATCTGTACCTTTAAGGTACTAATATTTACCATTTAGGCGTAAATAAGGTACAAAGATGTACCTTTTAGCTTGTGCACCATAAAGTACTGCCCCAGTGACAGCTTTCTATCTTTTTTTCTGAGAGGGTACAGCATTTAAGCACCCAGGAAATCTCATTTTTCTCCTCAACAGGCGTTTTAACGATCTTTAACAGCAAGACAGAATATTTTGTGTGCTGTGCGTTTTTATAAGTTCTTATGGTGTCTTTTTGACCTTTAACCTCCACTAATGAGAGAATTTTCTTTGATTCTTATGTTAAATGTTAAACGCAAAACCCAAATGAATGGCTTTGAGGAAATGAATTAATCCCTATTTATATTTATATATTTTTGAATATCTATTTATATGTTTTCCCCCCAAGTTATTTATTCATTGTCTAATACAAATAATAATAATTTACTCACTTCTACACTGTTTCAAACCCGAATGGCGTCCTTTGTTCTGTGGACACCAAAAGATGTTTTGCAGAATGTTCACGCTGCTCTTTTTCCATACTACGTCAGCACAATAAAATGCTCCCTATCAGTATTTCAAGGGATTCATGCACAATATTCCAAGACTTCTGAAGCTTTTTATGATGAACAGACCAAAATGTCTTTATTTAGTGAAAATCTGCCTCTCTGTTGTAGTATATAGAGCTACCATGAAAAGAAAATTCACCCTATTGTCTAAATGCATATTATAGAACTCCTTGTGATTAATTGATTTGTGCATTTTTAATTATTTTTGACCTCCTAGCATTTAATCAAAATGTCGTCTTCCAGTATCATTCCTGATGTATGCAGGAATCCTCCAATCATTTAGTCTGCTTATACTCCGCCCCTTCAAGATCCTTTCATCCGTCTCCACTTTTGAGTGCCACGCCCACATCCCAACATCCAATCAACAACCGAAAGATAGAATCAAGTCCCCGCCCTACTTTTTTTTTCATTTTCGATAATTAGTTACATTCTGATGTATGCCTACATCACAATACGGAAGAAAAATCTCTTGCTACTTTAGTTTTATCACAACTTTAAATCTCATTGAGCAGAAAAGAAAGTATCAGTACTCATACTTGGCCTTGTTGCAACTCAGGCTTATTGGAAATACGTGACTCTGCCTACATTTCTGCAAAACTTGAAATACGTTGCTCTGTGTACATTTTGCTGAACTTTGAAGACACGTCCACAGGAGGCGCTATAAGCGATATCATTTTTTCTCCATTGCAGATGCAGTTTTCGCAGTGCTGTACCGGGTGAGCTACTGAGCAAGTTTACTATATCAGAAAAGCCATATTGAGAAGAACGTGATGCAAATGTTAAAATGTATAAAAGTGTTTAGAGAACATGACAGTATTGTGCAAGGAACCACTTGAAAAATCAAGCCTATATTTATCGAACATCTGCCCCGGTAATCATAATTTGTGTGAAAAGGACCAAAAGTTGTTGGTAAAAACTGCAGCAAAATGTATGTATCACACATTTCTAATGAGCCTGGGCTGCCTTTATAACATTAATTTATCTATGTCTTATCTAATTTATCTTATCGACTTTCCTGCTCCACAGAAGAATCTATGTCATAGATTTTGAATGACAACGTGCAAATGGTAATTTCCCTTTATCAAGCCAAAATGCCAAACTGACCCATATTTATTTAGATGGATATTTATGAGTCACTAACTGAATTGATTTGTTTTACTGCTGTTTCATGTGGTGCTGTAAAACGTACTGTATTATTGACAAAGCTGGATATCCAGTTAACATTTACCTCAGCATTGTATTTGTCCGTTTTGTACAGCAAGGAAAATATTAACGAACCAAAATTTAGTGAATGTTAGTTTTATATAATTTATATCATTTTATTTTGTTAACCTAGAACAGATGCATTGGCATTTGTATATTTGTAATTAGTGTTAAAGTCAACATGAAATCAAAACCGACAGTGTTATCTTTGTATTTACCTGTTCCTAGTCTTACATTTCATCAGGACATCAGAAAAATGACTTGCTTCACCTCTGAAACGGCTTTCCTTTTCAGCTGAAATCAACAAGGCTGCACAGGAAAGAAAATAACATTATTAAACAGCCAAATAGCTATTAGTCATACTAAAATCTTGGCGGTAAATTGAATGGCAGTTACTGTAATAACTTTTACAGCAATAATACCAAAAAACAGTAGTGAAACAGAATTACCATTCATTATATGATCAATCAGCCTCCAGAGCCTGGTCAAAAAGCTTCCTGAAAAACCTAGAAAATATACCACATTATGGAAGTAATATGGGTTGTGAATGTAATTTCATGCTGACTTTGTCAAAGTGATCATATACCGTGAAGCAAAAGTTGACATGCATGTCATCAAACACACTGTTATGGCTTAAAGATCTTCATTTATATCATTCAATAAGACTGTAACATGTGCAGCGAGTTTATAACTTGTATGTAATGGTTGGAAACACAATAAACAGCTTGGGTTTGTGGAAAAGAGACGTATAAATAGAGAGTGATGATGGAAAAGAAGAAAAAAAGAGAATGAAACTGGAGATATGGAGTGTGCTCGTGATCCGATCTCTAATTCAGAGTTCACGTTTCGGCCGCCGCACACACCTGTCATCACACACCACACAGGACAGCATTAATACACCGAACGACAAGAAACAACCTTGTTATAATGCTGTTACCTCAACATGACGAACAAAAACCCAGGTCAACGGTTACATCAGTAATTAGTCATTAGCTGTTGTAAATCTGTAATGTGAGTACTGGACAGAGAGAGAAAGAGAGGAGCCTGAATATAGAATGTAAATATTGGGTTCTGGATGTAAATTTGTTCCATTTCCACTGAGAAACTGAGTTTTTGATATAAAAAAAAAACAAAACAGACCTACCATTTATTAGAAAAAAAATGGTATAATTTTAATAATTTTAAATATATATTAGAGTCTGCAGTCTGTTATGCTCACCAAAGCTGCATTTCTTTGATGAAAAATATAAACGGTAATATTGTGAAATATTATTACAAATTAAAATAACTGTTTTCTATTTGAATATATTTTAAAATGTAATTTATTCCTGTGATGCAAAGCTGAATTTTCAGCATCATTACTCCAGTCTTCAGTGTCACATGATCCTTCAGAAATCACTCTAAAGATTTGCTGCTCAAGAAACATTTATCAATGCTGTGCTGCTTAATTTATATATATATATATATATATATATATACAGTGGGTACGGAAAGTATTCAGACCCCCTTAAATTTTTCACTCTTTGTTA